AGCACATCCATGAGCTCCTGCTTCTTTCCCCCACCCTTCAGCCCATAAATCCTGCATGCGTCCTTCAGAACAGGTACAGTGAGCTTGCCTAGAGTGCCCTTCTGCACATGGCTCCGCAGCTCATCTTTTGAGACTTCTACCTTGGGCCTCTTCTCAGTTTGATTATCGGAAGCTAGAAAGATAAATTTTAGATCACCAAGATTTTAAAAAGTTTCTTAACAGAAAGTCATCAATGTTTCTCATACATACCACAGTTAATGGCCATTAGCACACAGTACTTTAACAGCTACCTACACACTCACAGACCTAGTTTCCACATTTTGTTTTAAGAAGTGTCTCTCACTGTGTAAAAGTCATGTAGTATTTGACAGGACCGATCTCAAACTCAAGTATGAAACTTTGTGTTCTGATGGAAAGATCACCCCCAAATGAAACTTTTAAGGGATTCTCATCGAGACAGCAGAATGCAATGAATCCACAGGGAGCTCAGCTATCTAAAACTCCCACTTTATGCAGAGTTTCACGGAGTCCCAAACTACATGTGTACTTCAGCTTTAGACATTCAGCCCTAAAGATGCCCATCTTGGACTTGCTAAATAGCCCATGCATAAAAGTCTGTTTCCTCACCAACACAAACTGAAAGCATAAGTGATTTTACTACTGTCTTGTAAAAAAAAAAAAGTTACTAAAAAAAATTTTAAAAAAACCATTTGTAGTCATTTACCCACACTGCTTCCTATACTCCACTATACAGTTTCTCATTCCAGCAGTTCTCCAACTGGATACCACAATATCCTCTACTCCCTAAAAATCACTACTGGATATAAATCCACTTTGTTGTGGAGATGAGTAAAGAGAGTTGTTGCACAGGCGGCTTCTTTAAACTACGAGACTAAGTGAAAACAGAGAAGCTTCTAAACAGAATACAGACACCGTGTTGTCTGTCTGCCCCGTCATTACTTACCTTGTTTTCGCTTTACAGCCATCCCATCAGGATTGTAGTCAGGGGGATAAACCAGCTCCTTAAACTCCTCCACCAGGTTGCCCAGCCTGCGGTTCATCTCTTCAGACTTTGGCACTGGCAAAACAGAAAGATTTGCCCTCTCAGAAACAGAGCGGTCACAGGCAAGTCTAAACAAGGCCATGAGCAGATACAACTGCTCTTCTGCAATAACTAGCACGCAAACGTCTTGCAAGCGCGCGCAATGCAAAGATCTACGTTACGATATTCACAAATGAAAAATGTACAGCTCTTTGTAATATCAAGAGTTTGTATTATACATATGTAATGGACTCACACATATCCCTGAACGGGAAATATATATGAATATATATGGATCAGAACAAAACTGACATGGTGGAAGTGATGTAGAAGATCTCCTACCTGGTTGCACTGTTACCAAGGTCTAATCTCAGACATTTAAAATACAACAGGTTACTTCTAAGGTTGTGAGTAGTTTGAGGCCGAACAGCCTGTTGCTGTCATGTATTTCTATGATATATAGCACAGGGGCCTAGATTATTTGTTAAGTAACACTTCAGAAGAGACAAATAGTTACTTTAACGCTATTTCTGAAGTACAACATAATTTTAAAAAAGTAACTTCCCCTTCAGGAGTAGGTTTCTACCCTTTGATGAGATATTCTTACATAGAAACCATCATAGCCACAAGGTGGCATCGTTGCCTCCTAGCAGAATAATTCTCTAAGTAATTCTGCCCATTTATCAGACTGAAATATTAATTAGATTCTTGAAGAGCAGAATTTGAGAGAAGACATTTGTCACCAAAGAAAAAAGGTGATTCAATTTTAATTTTGGAGGGTAAAGTGATCAAATTTTCCGTTATCTTACAAGTGACAGCATTAGAAAGCAACGCTTCAGTATTTCAGAGTGGACACATCTAGAATTTTACATCTTGGAACTGCACACAAGTGAAATATTTTTAAAAGACATTTGGTTTTGTGGTAGCACATCTCTGACTTACAAAGTCAAGAGCCCTCTACCCCACCTCCCTTCACACCCACTAATAATTCTCACTTGTAAGATCCTCAGCTTTTTCTGGTTCCATCTCATCCAGCGCCAAAGCCTCCAGATTCCTGAAGTGCTGCTGCAAAACTGGGTTCTCAAAGCTGTCAGTCCTGTCAAGAATCCCCCAAAGCGTCAATGCATGCTGCCAAGATGACAGACAAGACACGTAAGATCTACCACCAACTTATTTCAAAGCAAAACTTCCCTCTTTCACACACAACAACCCATCTCAACGGAAGAACTGCTTTTTCTCTTTTCAATTTACCTGCTGAATCACTATCCTGTCAGGCATCTACCACATCAGAAAGCTATGTGAGACTTAGAAGAGCTGTGTGAGACATGGAGACAGTGGCATTCTACTTTAATAACAGTTACGCTACTTTCCACGTATCTAGGAAAAAAATCTCCCATAAAAGCACTTCCTGAAACTTATCCTAGCTGTAATGAAAAAGACCTAACTATTCTCTCTAAAGTGCTCTAATTTAAACGATCCCATCTGATCTGCAATAGATTGGCACAACAAAATGTGATACCTCTGCAACAAAAGACAACAGCCCAGAGAACAAGAGCAATTTTACAAAGAACTCCAGAACGTGCTACATAAAGCACGTGGGGCTTGGGTATTCAGAATGATTAAGAATAAAGTTTGGACAAAGTTACTGCAAAGGGAAGCAATTTGCATCAGAATACAGCAAAATCTCATCTCACGGACACCACGGCTGAACAACACGTGCAACAGAGCAGGTAACAGTGTCGTGCTTTCTTCCCCATGCCACCGCCCCGCACACTATTTATCTCCATGTACCTGTATTTGAACCGGAGTTTTTGAATTATTTCCTTCATTTTGTCCACCTGCTCTTGACTGGCCGGCACCTTTTCTGTAAAATCAACATTCCGTATGTCATCTGCGTAAGGTAGGAAAATGATGTGGAAACCTACACAGAGAGAGGGAGCAAGAGAACAATTATACAGAACCAGGGCCTCAAAACAGTACCTTACGGGAAAGACCAAGATGCTTATTATCGAGGTCTGATGACTCCAAACTCACTAGCTATTTGGTTGTAAACAACAGCAACCCACAATACTTCCTAGTACCCACAGCATGACACTCAATCCCAATCTCAATGTATATAACCAAGATCGCTAATGGCTTTTTGGAAGAGATTCAAACTAAATACATAGCTAAGAGCTGGATACTCGTGCCTTGCTTTTTATGCAGGAGATCAACTCGTCCACCTTCCCCCCTCTAACAGGATATGAGCTTGAAAGAGACTTGTTTGAAAATTAAGTTAATGCTCACACGTTATTTCTGAAATGCTTTACTTTGTACACAAGCAGTGTTATTTCCATACTTTACATCCTCCCAGAAGAGGATTTTTCAGTTAAAGTGGTGAGAAGATGCAAAAGAGCAAGAATCTGCCTTTGCTCCCTAATCATTCCCCACTCAACCGATAAGGTGTGAGGCTCGGCATGTGACATTATTTATTTAATACTTTAAAATGTATCCAAGGATACAACAAATTTCAGGGAAAGACATTCTCTCTGGCCAGGAAACAAAAAAAAAAGGGCTTTTAATTTTTAGGTCAGGTGCTTGAATCTGCTGAAAGGAGGTAGGAGGCAGGGGAAATGCCGTCGCCACGTTATACCCGAGCAAGCACTGATGCAACTGAGGTTTTAAAAATATTCAACGCCAGACGCTTACAGCCACAAAAGTGAAGAAAAGGGATGTTGGAAAGCACTCTCCTCAGTTTTAAGGGGAGCAGCAATAAGAATGTTTCCACAATACAGGACGCTGTCATGCTGACGGCATCCAATCGTGCAGGGAACGGCAGCATCTCTTCCCATACCTGGAGGGGCTATCTGCACCTTCTGCTCATCCACCTCTTCCTCCTGGGGAACCAGGGCCACAAAGCGAGGGGGAGTGTTCCGGCGGGTGGTGTACCTGCACAGTGCCATCACCTCCCTCTCCAAGCATTTAATCAATAAGGCATTAAACAGTGTTGTACTCCCTGCAAAGGAAAGACTGTATTGGTCAGACTGACAGCTTTGTTTCTTTGTTCAGGAATGTAACCCTAGATTTTAGTTTCAAAACTTGTGACTTTTTTGAAATGCTTGCGATATTGCAGTAGTAAAAAGCAGCTTCTGGAAGGTGGAGCCCTTGAAAATGAGTGTTAGTGTCTCTCCTGACCAGAGCAGTGAAAGTTCTGGTGAAAGAAATGAAGTCACTAGCACCTGAGCAATGAAATACAGTTGAAAATTGGAAATGGGTATCTACAAAGCCTCTTTCTGGTCTGGTGGGACACCATAGTAGCAGCATATCATAGGACCTTTTGCAGAAGTAACCCACTAAAAATTCAGACTGCGGTACTCCTCTCTTGAGGCACGCATTTGCTTTGTATTTTACCAGATACGGTGGTCAAGAAAAGACATATAAGTAGGTGTTTGATTCGGGAAACTATTAAGCTGGAGAAGCTAATGTAAAGGTTCTTCTTTAGTCAGACACTGCAAAGCATCTGGTCATAACTCAGGTCTCTTTATCCACCAGTAGATTGAAGAGCTAGAGTGCTTTTCTTTACTATTGGAGCTTGAGATGGATTAATACTCTATTTGTAGATAAGTAGCCTTACATATATACATAAAAAGGCAAGAAAAAGCAGTCCTAAGCATCCTCTCCTCTCTTTACAAGTCTGTAAAGTGCTGTTAATTCAACCACACTTCCTGAGTATTATGTTTCCGCTCCTAGCTGATACGGACTTAAAAACAGCAATTATCTTCACTGGTTTGGGGTTTGTTTCGTTGGGGTTTTTTTTAGCCACCTTTGCCTTCTTGTCAGGTACTAGGATCCTTCACTTTCATGAATGACAAAACCAAATATTTTGCGACTACATCTAGATAGTTCGGTTAGCTGCTTGTCACGCCAGATGAAACACAAAGCCCAATAGGCTCTTCTGCTATTGAAGAAAACAAAAATTAACTGCAGCTGAGAGGGGCAGTAACAGTTAATTCTATACTCTTTTTAACATAACTATTTTTAACATTTTTAAGTTAGACAAAGATTTTACACTCCATGATCCCCACTCACTCAGACAGTCTATGAATCAGCTGGTTACCCTAATGTAAGGTGGTGAATCTTCTCTTGCCATCTTTACTTACCATTTACTAGGGACTCCTCAGGATAAATGAACTGGGAAGGCTTGATATGGTGGTGCTGTTTTAGCATTGAAAGCGGTTTGAAGCCAATCAGAAACAAGCCCGGAGAATCGAACCTTTTTATTTCTTCTGTTTCCTCTTTCTCCAGCACAATCTGGCGGTTTCCATATGTCTAAATCAGAGAAAAGCAGATAATAGTGCTGCCAGCATAAAAAAAAAAAAAAATACGGGGGGTGGGGGGCAGGAAGAGATGCAATTGCTGTCTCCCACTACTGAAAAAGGGGGTTATAGACAAGACAGAGCAAACTGATCATTAGTGCACGCTGAAATGGCAAGTTGCGGTCTGTGACCATTATCCCAAGGGCAATTCCACCAGGACGTTAGCAAAATACACTTTCCTAGGACAACGGTTAAACCCTGGCAGAGAGAGGCTGTCACATCTCATCCTTGGAGTTCTTCAGAGCTGTCCCAAACAAACCCTGAGCAACCTGATCTAGTTTTGTGGAGTCTTGCACTGGGCTGGGTTGGACCATACATCTTCAGAGGTCCTGCCCGATTCTAAACTTGCTTCAGCAGGTGCACATCAGCTACCTACTCCTAGCAGAAACAGTGACCGAGAAACAACACTTTTGAAGCATCACTCATACCTCACAAAAACGAAAACATATTGTAGTCCAGCTGCTCAAGTTAGACATCAGGGCTTAATGCTCAGCTTTCTGCTCATCTCCTGTACTTTATTTCAAGAAACTACTGTCCAGTATAAATAAACTTAATATTTAGTCTTAAGACAACAATTTTAGGAGCCTTTGCCATAGAAGGACACACAAAGTGCGCTTGTGACAATATACCTAGCAACTGCATATCCTGCTATGAAGTAAGGCTGTGCCTGAACAGAACGTGGCATTCAATCTACATCAGCCTAACTATCAAGCAGGAAGGCAAAGCAAAGAACAAAATAACAGAAAACAAAGGTAATATGGCTCTTTTTTGTTTGGAAAAGAGCTCCAACCCCCCACCCCACGATTCACACTTGTTATGTTCAATAAAATGGACAAAATCTGTTCCTAATGAATCAAAAGATAACACCAGCAGCGATAGCACAAGGCCACATAAGGTCAGGCTCTGACAACCTGGTTCTGCCTTACAGGAAGAAATGACCCGAGCGCACTTCCACCAGCAGCTGTGCTTTCCCTTGACAGTCACACCAGAGAAACAACCCACTCTCACTCCGAGTAGTTTACAAAGAGACCAGGCTATCCCCAGGGGCATACAGATGCAAATATTTCTGCATCTGATCTTGAAAGTGAAATACAAACAAAAGCAACAAGAGAATCAGCATCTCCCCACCACATCGCAGAGACAGGAAAAAAGCAGGCACATAATCAATACGTTACCTGAGCCCTTTTTGTGTCGCTGGGCAGCAGCAAGCTGCCTGTTTTTCCATTAAACATCCTTGTTTTTGTTTTAACTGGTTCATTAGTCTCCCGGTAAAGCTTCACCGGAAAGGGCTTATGAGCTTTTTGAACAAGGTTGTAAACACCAACAGCAAGCGACAGATCTTTGTTCAGATACAGATTTAACCTGTGTGAAAAAAGCAGATACAGACTTGAGACTTCCAAAAGATCACTTCTGCAAAAGAAAGTCATCTCTTCAGATAACTTATTTTCTCTGACCTCCTCCTATTCTCCTCCCTCAAAATCACATGTATCTCTGGAAACATATTATTACTTGAGTCATAATCTCACTTGTATAAAAACATTCTTGGTCACTTCTGGTCATAAAAATGATTTAAACATAAATAATTTAGCATATTTCTTTCACCTTTTTTCACTCTGATGGGCAGCTATGCTCAAGCAGTGCACAGGACAACTTCACATTTGGGCACCTTCCTTGTGCTCAATGCAATGTCACCTCTGAATTCACACAGCTGTGCATGCAGAAGGCAAAATTCCCCAAAAGAACCTCATCAAGACAAACAACACCGTGCCTCAAGGGAAAAAAAAAAAATCCAAAACAGAGAAAAATGCAGAAGTAAGGGTTGAAAATGGGAGGTACTCTTCAAGTTCTGAGAGCTGAACAGTGAATTGCTGTGAATGTTACGTCCCCTCCTCTAAAAGATATCACTGGTACAGGATTCTTCCCCCTCCATTACTAGAAAACTTGAGGAACATTCCCAGAAGAGGAAAATAAAGCTGTGAGCAGGAGCAAGAATGCTAGTGACAACGGCCGTGAAGTTCATTCCCTTACAATGCTTCCACACCATTCTGCTATGAACTCACTCATTAAAAAAAACAACTGTTATGAAGTACATGATTTCAAAAATATTTTCTATCTGCTTTGTCAAGATCCCTTTAATCTCTCTGTAAGTGTCTCTAATCAAAAAGGAGATTAGAAATACCAAGGCTGTGTGAATCCACAACAAACGCCTAGACAGACTGGCCGCTTAATAATAAGCCAAAATACCCACCAGTCACAGCGAGATGAAATTTTTCTAAGTTAACACTAGTAAGAAAAGCCTCATTTCAATCAGATTTCACTATAAACTAACCATTTTACATGTTGCAGATTTTTTATAAGTATTTTACTTGGCAATGATGTCATGTTTTGAAAAATTATCAGTTCTGGCCAAGCTCCATGCAGGAGACATCAGACAGAGGAAAAAAGGCTTCACTCTCCACTCTTCTCATCCACCAAGGACAAATACCCTTGGAAGCTACGGAAGAAACACGAATTTTGACCTAAGGAATTAAGATTGAGGAATATGAGCACTGATGCCTTTATAGACCAATTATTCCAGAAGAGGAAAGTGAGATGCAGTCTAAAAATAACATCTGGTGCCTCCATTGAATGAAATAGCGTAACAAGGCACAAACCTGACTAAAGTCCGTTTTTTTGTCTCCTTTGCTCGTACTTTCTTCATGAGATGTTCCAGTTTCACTGACTCCTCAGGTTGGACCCCAAGGTCCTCATCCTCTGCTATGTTTATGATATCCCTGTAGAACAGAGAGATATCGAACCCTCCAGGCTTCTTCAAGTGCATCAAGTCCAGGATGATACCTAGAAACAAAGTAAGGATAGGAAGAGGATCACAGATACTGCTTTTTACTTGCATCGGCATGTTTCTCAGCACTTTCAGATTTCTCTATCTAAGCAAAGAATTTAAGCAAGAATAAGCTCCAAATTGTCATCTGCACCAGATGCAAAAGTTTCTAG